ACGCGTTTGTAAAATGCTAGTGGGAACATATCCTAAAATTCAATCGTAATTAACCACCAGTAGCTTTTTGTAGGTGATATCAACGACATAATCAATGGACATACGTTTTTTGCCACCAATATCACGTGACTTTAAAATGGTATTTGTCGGACTATAACCGTAATTTTCAGTAACCATCTGTCAACCGATTTGGTTGCTTTGGTTAACGTTTGGTCATATTCGGACCATAGCCTAAGTAAATTCGAAATTCCCACCATTCTACAGGTTGATTGCGCGCGAAAAAAAAATATATGTGAAGCGCCGTACACGTGGTAGAAGTGTAACTTCTTGAAAACCGAATGAGGGAGATTGAAGGTGCGAGAGAAGGAAAGAGAGATAATTTCCAAAGAAATATCTACGACAGTACAGTGTGCTCTTTTTATCTTGATAACATTTTAAACTGTCGTAATTTCTTTATTTCTGAAGTTATTTAAATAAATCAAAAAAGCACAGGACACAAAAATATGTAATGTATAAATAACGAAAATAATCACAAAACACAATGATAAAGTCTATAGAAAATAGTATAACAAAAGGCAGACGCGCATCTATAGTGACGTGACATCACAATAGTATCGGCGCTTGTCAATAATAGGCAATCCTTTTTACGTTTATAATCCTTGGTTTGTGTCAATCAATAGCTGTCTTCTTTCTCCGTCTCTTCACGTTATATCTTTCTTCTCTCTCGAGTAACAAAATTTCCCCGTGACGCGTTATTCAAATCACTCTCCATTGTCATCCAAATATCAGAACACCGCCTAAAAAGTTTCACTTCAATAACTTGATTTACTTGATTCAAACAGTAACTTATTTAAAAAAAATAATAATAATAATAAAATAAAGAATAATGTTTTCAATGACAGGGGGGTGAAAATGCACCCCCTTGCACCCTGCTGCCGGCGCCCATGCAGCAAAAAACTCATTGACGTCTAAAGGGGACTAAATTTGCCACCATTTGAGCTTATTGCAGACCTATAGGTCGAATAGTTCTCGTAGAGTTTTTGTTAAACTTTTCGATCAAATATTGGGAAAAAATACCCATCCTACGCGAAAAATCGTACGAAGCGAAGTTGTAACAAGTTAAGTCAACTTTAATTCAAGCGGCGCACAGTGTTTTTTTTTATTTATTTAAGATTTAAAGTGCATCAACTACTAGGGTTATTAGCACCTGGTACAATAATTTTATAATTTGGTGTATAAATTACAATTTTTTAGAAACTCTATCAAATTGAGTATATCCTGTTGGCTTTAAAAGATGTCTTGCATTGATCCACCAATATGGTGCGCTTTCCTTTGTTGGTTGTATTTAGGGCATGTAACTAATATATGTTGGTTTCGTTGCATAATTCACAGACTGGAGGGTCTGTTCTTTCTAGTAAATGTCCATGTGTGAGTCTAGTGTGTCCGATTTTGAGGCGACTTATTTTTATTTGGGATGACCGACATATGGATATTCTCTTGGTAGGTTTTATTCAGGGTTTCACTTCCTGTAGTTTAGAGTTCAAACTGTTCCATTCTAGTTGCCACAAGTCGCGCACTAGAGTTTTCGTATAGCATTTAGTCACGTATTGTGTTTCCTGTCCGGAAGGTGGATGCGCCATCAGTCAAGGCTTCTTTAGCTGCAGAGTCTGCTGAGTCGTTACCTGGGATTTCGGTATGAGAGGGGGTGAAAATGAAAAACACAGATCTATTGTCATTTTGTGTGCCTATTAATGTCTTTTTTATTCTATGTTCTATCTGGTGTTTTGGATATATTCTGCCTATTGAGTATAAGGAGCTAAGGGAATCGCTTATAATCATGCTGTTTTGGATGTTACTATTTCCTATGTTTTCTAGTGCCTTGAATATTGCGAAAAGTTCTCCTGTGTATATTGATGCAAATTTGGGTAGTTTATATTTCTGCACTATGTTGTTTTGTTTGATAGGTAGGTATACTAGCGCAGCGCCTGTTCCTTCGTCTGTTTTGGACGCATCTGTGTAAAAGCTAACTTTATCTACTGGGAGTTTTTCTACGATTTGTTTAAATTCCGATTGAATAATGTGTTTTGTGTTTATTTGTGTTTTGTTTGTCATATTTAGTTAGGCTGGTATTGACTAGTGGCCTGTTCATTGACCAAGGTGCGACTAAGGTTTTGTCAGTGATCGGGAACTCTGGGAATTGTAGATGTAGATGTTCACGGTATTTGTCGAGCCTTTCGTAAAAGCGCCTGTTCCTTCGTCTGTTTTAGAAGCATCTGTGTAAAAGCTAACTTTATCTACTGGGAGTTTTTCTACGATTTGTTTAAATTCCGATTGAATAATGTGTTTATTTGTATTTTGTTTGTCATATTTAGTTACGCTGGTATTGACTAGTGGCCTGTTCATTGACCAAGGTGCGACTAAGGTTTTGTCAGTGATCGGGAACTCTGGGAATTGTAGATGTAGATCTTCACGGTATCTGTCGAGCCTTTCGTAAAAGGCTGGTTTGATCCGTTTTTTGTTCTGGTAAATGTCTCTATATCTATATCTGTCGGAGAAAATATTGGTGTATGACGGGTGTTTGGTGGAAATTGCCCTTCTTGTGGCATATGCAATGGATAACATTTTTCTTCTTTGTCTTAGTGGAGGTTCGCTAGGTTCACATAGTAAGCTTTCTATGGGACTTGTGCAAAAAGCTCCCAGAGCAATGCGTACCTATTGCTAAGTTGTAGACTTTGTCAAGTAGTGCCAATGTATTTTTTGAGGCTGAATTGTACACTATGCAGCCATAGTCGATTTTTGATCTAATTATGGCTCTATAGATTCTTAGTAGCGATAAGGAGTCGGCACCCCAGGATTTATGAGCTAAAATCTTCAAAAGATTTATTCCCTTTTGGCATAGGTACTAGAATTAGTTTTTTAATGCGTGGCACCCATGTCAGTTTTTCGTCGAAGATTAGTCCGAGGAATCTGATGGTTTTGACAAAATATAGGTTTTTGTCGTACAGTGTAATTTTGGGTATTGTTTGTTCACTTTTTTTTTAGAAGATCATACATTTTGTTTTATCGGTGGAAAATGTAAAGCCAGTATGTTGAGTCCAGAGTTCAAGTGCGTTTATATTATCTTGCATAAACTTGGTCATGGATTGCAGATTTATTTTTCCCTTTGATTGTCAGAACCAAGTCGTCGGCGAAAAGTCGAAATTTGACGGGTGTTTTTATTTGATTGGCGATGCTATTGATTGCCGCTAAGAACAGGGTGACACTTATCGTGCGTTCGTTATTTTGGTCCGAGTTCTCCGAGCTTGACTTTACCGTTCGTTTATTTAAAAAGTGTACTCGGTGCAGCCTCATTCGCGTTCGTTTATTGAAATTTCTGGCACTTTTATTCAGCGTTCAACTGCTCTGTTCACTCACTGATCACGTGATTACGGCTCCGCTCAGCACGCTCTGCTCTTTGAGCAAAATACCGAACGCAAGGTTAGAACTGATCCTTGTGGTGTTCCATGCTCTTGAGTTGCTGACATGCAGCCGTTTACTCAAACTTGGAATTTTCTGGTTTGCAAGAAGTTCTGGATGAAAATTAAGTATCGCCTTGGATTCCCCAATCGATGAGCTGTTTCAAGATATTATATCTCCAAGCGCAGTCGTATACTCTACTTATGTCGAAGAATATTGCTAGACATTTTTGGTTGTTTGCGAATACGTCTAGGATTTCTGTTTCCAGGTCGATTAGGTTGTCTTCAGTTGATCTATTTTTTCGGAATCCATTTTGTTCTGGTGCTAATCTATCGTTCAGTTCCAGGCACCAGGTAAGTCTGTTGTTGTTTATCCTTTCTAGTAGTTTGCACATAATACAAGTAAGAGAGATTGGCCTGTACGAAGATGGATTGGATTTCGATTTTTCCGGTTTTAGGATTGGGACTATTATGGCTTTGGACCATAGAATTGGAAATTTGTGTTGTTGAAAGATAAAGTTGTATAGATCCAGGAGAAAATGATTGGCATGATTGGCATTTTCTGGTAAATTTTGAAGGAATGTAGCAGGTATGTCATCAGGACCAGGGCTGGAGTTTTTTAGTTTAGAGAAAAACTCTTCAAGTTCCCATTTGGATATTGGTAAATTTAGAGGAGAGGTGTCTTCTTGTGTAAAAATCGGAAAGTTTCTTTCGGTGTATTTTTTTGTCTGTATGAATGATGGATTGTAGTTTATGTCGCTAGAATTTGTTTCATATGTGTTTTTTAGAGTATTTGCTATGCTTTGGTTATCTGTTATGATATCATCGTTAGTGCATAGATAAGGAATTGGAGAGTATGGGTTTTTCCCAGAAATTCGTTTTTGTTCCATACCTCAGAAGAAGGAGTATTTGGGGTAATGCTCGACACATATGGGGACCAAGAATCTTTTTTGCTTTTCTTAATTGTGAAGCGTGCTTTTGCTCTTAGTTGTTTGAAGGATGGGTTTTTTTTTAGTTTACAGGCTTCGTTCCACCATGGAACTGGCTTTTTTGCTAATTGGTTAGATGTTTTCCCCATTGATTGGTTAGCAGCGTCATGAATTATTTGATTGAAGTTGTGAAGGGTTTGGTCAATGTCAGTTTCTAATTTCATTTTGCTCATGTTGTTTTCAATTATTTTTTTAAAATGGTCCCAGTTAGCATGTTTAAGGTTCCACTTCTGGCGAGGTCCTGTTTCACTTTTATTTTCTGACGAGAAAACTTTAACTGGATAATGGTCACTTCCATATAGTGAAGGTAGTACTTGCCAAGATAGCGTTGTTGCAACATTTGGATCACAAAGGCTCAGGTCGAGTACAGAAAAGTTGCCTGTGAACGAGTTGAAACGTGTAGAGGAGCCATCGTTTAGTAAAATCAAACCATAGATTCTTCTAGGATTTTACCTTTTTTGTTGTTGCTTGGGCTTTCCCAAATCAGGTTCTGGCTGTTAAAATCGCCCATTATTATGCGTGGAGAAGGTATTTGTTTAAGTAAGTCGCAGATTTCTTATTTGTTGAATTCTCGATCGGGTGGAATATAGATATTGCATATTGTCAGAGGTTGTGGTAGTGGTATAGAGGCTGCGACGGCTTCCAGATTGGTGGTAAGGGGAACGTTTACTGCCTTCAATTCCTCCTTAGTAAATATTGCTACCCCACCACTTGCTCTGTCTCGATTTGTTCTGTTGCGATAAAATCCTTTAAATTTTTTGGGACAGAGAAGCTTATCATCTCGAAAATGTGTTTCTTGTAAGGCAATTATTGAGGGGTTTTCATCGTGGATAAGAAGTTGCAATCGCTCTAGATGGGATAGGTAGCCATTTATGTTCCATTGTATAATTGGAGAGTACAATGTATTCATTGTTAGAGGGTGTTGTGTTGTGTTATTAGTAAGTGTCCTGAGATGAATCGCTTTCTATATCAGTAGTCGCAAGGTACAAATGTTGACCTAATTTCTTTTTCATTATGGTACACCTTGTTTTAAGGCTCCTAGATATAATTCTAGGATATATATCTGTGATCATATTTTGCAGCGCTTCCAAGTTTTGAGTGTAATTTAGGGTAACTTGTACGATATCTAGTGCGCCATGTGAGTTTTCGAAAAAATCAATCAATTGTTCATATGGGATTATGTAAGGTGATCATGTTCTTCTTTAAATTTCTTGGAAGGTTCTAGTTGTTCACATATTTATGCATGAAGGTTTGGTGATTGTTTTGCTTTTTTAATAGGCTGTGTAGTAGGTTTTATAAAGTTATGGTCAAGTTGTATTTCTGCTGGTGGTGTGACAATTTCAGTGATGTTCCTTCTAGTCGACTGGACATCGGAAAAGGCATTTCTGTATCTGCTGACGTGGTTTTTGAGGTAGATGGGTTATCTGATTCTTGGTTACTTTTATTGGGACATTGGGAGGCAATTTGTCCACTTTGCTTACATTCGAAGCATGACATACCATCTTGGGAGAGAAATATTCGGTAGGAAGTGTTGTCCTGAGTAATGAGTATAGAACTTGGTACTTCGAGGTCTGCAGGTGGCGCAACGTAGACTTGCCTCCGGAAGCTTAGGATATGACTATATTCTGGATTATTGACTCCTATCCGTAAAAATGTAATTGGTGAGACCAGTTTTAGGCCAAGTTTCTTTAGCTGATCTTCGAGCATTGCATGAGGGATAGTTGGACATACGTTGAGCAGGAGAGCGTCTGGGTTTAAGAGATTGTCCATTTATACTTATGGTACCATAAATGGTTAGAAAGTGATCCACTTTTTCTTTGCTTGATAAATATGCACAAATTCTGTTATTAGAAATTCTAGATGCGAACGAGATGTTTTTTGGGCCTATTATGGAGTCGAGGGAAAAAATATACTCCTGTATAGAAGATGCATCCAGAGCACCAAACAATATTGCTTGTTCCTTGATAGGAAACGAGTTTTGAAATAATACCGATGAGTATGATTTTTGTTGGAGAAGTTGTGTGTGTGATGGGTTTGGATTTTGATGATAAACTTGATTGGCATTTCTGTAATCAAAAGTGCATTCGCCTTTATCACTCATTTTGGTTATGAATATATTGATTCATCTAGCAAATTCCTACTACGGTTCTGTATTTGCGTGGTAAATCGACGATTAGCTTGTCATTTGTCAATATTTTTTTTTCTATAGTCACTGGTTGTTGAGACCGTAAGCTATGCCAGTACTAATTGGTTTTTTTTTCACAATTGCTGGTTTGCAAATAAATTAAATTCAAACTTGCTTTTCTGTAATTTACAAAATCTTAGGCTAAAACATTTCCTATTTTCAAAAATTGTATGCTTATTAAGTACGGGCGATTTTAAACTTGTTTTTTGTATACCTACAGTGTTATTAAATAATTGGCAATATATTCCTGTTTATTGTTTTTGTAAATGTGCAGTAAATACCGAGTGACAATGAGACTACTACCCATGGCGGCATTTCTTAACGGCTCGAGATAGAAATATGCAACTCGATTTGTTGATAGGCTTGAAAATTGTGAACAATTTTAATATAAAAAACAATTGAATGTCTTTTCCGGTTTTACCGGAAATGGCAGTTTTTACGTAAAATACAAACAAATAGGAATTACGACATATTTTGGAGTCACTCATTTGCTATTCTTCGAGAAAAGTGCTTTTATTTTACACGATGACTGCATTATGCCGGTTTTCCACCAAAAGGCGGTTACACACGGGCGTGGATGTCTTAAAACATGTACGCACATACATGAACGCGCAACCAAAAACATCAATGTGTATGCAAAATACCGTTGCGTTTTTGAATTTGCAATTTTGTATGCACACTCGGATTGCTGTAGCAAGAATAGCAAGACTGCAATTTTGTGCGAGCGTCTGTACAAAAGCGCCATGCACGTTGTTGTTTGCACGTTGATGTATGCACGTATATGTATTAAGACATCCACGTCCGTGTGTAACCGCCCAAACGGACTGTTGAGTTTTTGTTTTAAAACAAGTTTTAAAACAAAAACAAAACTGAATAGACTCGAGTCTGCGTTTGAGTTTCATATTTACCGCTTCCGGACGGGACCCGAAAAACAAAACTCCAACTGTCGCAAAACACGCTAGTCTTGAAAATGTTTGGGAAAAGTTGGAGTTTTGTCTGAGTTTAAGATGTGTTTTTGTTTTGTCGGTTTGGTGGAAAACCGGCATTAGGAGTAAATATCTTTTTTCACATAAGTGATATTTAAATCTTTTTGGGGTCTTTTAAACTATCTATGAAATTCTTTACTGAATTCAATATATATATTTTTTTGTGTTCACAGTGAATGGGGCTCTTATCGTTAAATTTTCGATAGCAGTAAAATATTTTCATTACAAAGAAAGTATGAAAAAAGATTAATATTTTAAAATATTTACAGACATTTTAGTTTTTGATTATGTTTATCACAATAAGGATTCTTTAAAATATTTTAAAATATTTATTCAGTTTTCATATGTTCTCACCTTCGTGCAGTCAAAATGGAAAAATTACAAAAGATCTGTTTTTAATCCTACGAGATAAAAACATTAATTTCAAAAGCTATGTTAGTTTAGTAGAGGCCGTTAAGGCTCAATTCAGTGTTTTGTTTTCCAAAGGAACGTCAAAAGTTTTATCGGAATGTTTGAGACTGTTTTGCTCTCATTTGAATAAAAAATATCAAAATTCATCTTGTAATATTGATTATTTTTAAAAAACAAAAATCTCTGTGGTTGGATTTACCATTTTCTTGGCCAGAATCTATTGAAAATAAGTATTTGTTGCAACATGCCTTACCTAACAAAAGCAATCTCAAATCAAAGCAATTAAAACCATTTGGTGATATGAGTACAAAACAGAAAAAAAGGCGAACTCAAAGCCTAACTCATGAGAATACCTTTGAAGAGTTGGCATTTGCCGCAAAATTGAGATCAAGAGTGGAAGGTCGAAAAGAGCTCTCTAAAATTATTGATCATCTATTAAAAAATGAGGATGATGTTAAAAGAGTTACTGATTTCTTATTCAAACCTTTAAAAAGACCGAATTCTGTTGATCCGGAAAAATCACTCGCTCTAATGACTTCTCTAGAATTGTCAACGTACCAATATAAAATTTTAAGAGGGGTTTACTATGGAACATATAGAAAATAGTGCATTACCGTCCTTCTATAAACTCAAAAAAGAAAAAGAAAATTGTTATCCGCCACAGGAAGATGTTATTATTAGATACAGAAAAAATGGCAAAGATAAGGCTACAATCAGTTTTGGATCTCACAGCTCAAAGAATCCTTAAAACTTGCAACTTAAATGTATAACCTAATACAGAATTGATTTTCACTACTAAGTGGAGATTTGATGGTGCATCTAGTCAGAGTTTATATAAACAAAAATTTGAACATAGTTTAGAACAGGACGAATCCTCAGTATTTATGACAAGCTGTGTAACTCTCCATTTAAAAATGGATAATACAGATATATAGAAAAATCCAGCACCCTCATCAACGCGATATTGTAGACCAATAAAATTTGAGTTTATGAAAGAATCAGCTGCTATGGTAACTCATCAATTGGAAGAAATTCAAACCGAAATTGAAAATTTAAATCCAACATATTCCGATGGAGATATTTTTATTAAGCATGAGCTTCATTTAACTATGATGGTAAAATTTGTACCATTATTTCGGAAACACCATCTTCAGCTACTTGTCCCATTTGTCTTACCAAACCGTCAGAAATGAACAATCTTTTAGAGGTACATAAAAAACCTTTAAGAGAAAATATTTATAAGTACGGCTTGTCTACCCTTCATATGTGGATTCGATGTATAGAATGTCTACTTCATATTGCATACAACATAAATTTCAAGACATGGTCGGCCAAGGGAGAAAACAAAACATTAAAAGATGAAAGGAAAAAAGACATTCAAAAGGCCTTTAGGAATGAGCTGTGCATAATGGTGGACATTGTTAAACAAGGACATGGAACAACAAATGATGGTAACACTGCCAGAACATTTTTTCGAAACCATGAGGAAACTGCACGAATAACTGGAATAGATAGCAACCTCATTTATCGTTTCGCAGTTATCCTGCAAGTTGTTTCATCTGAAAAAAAAAATAATTTTGAAAGATTTCGCACTTATCTAAAAGATACTGCAGAACTTTACGTATCCTTATACAGTTGGTATTATATGCCCTCGAGTGTTCATATTCTTCTGATTCATGGAGCAGAAATTTGCAGAAATTTTGATTTAATTCCAATTGGTAAATTATCTGAAGAAGCTTCCGAGGCTAGAAACAAAGAATTTAGGACATATCGCCAGAATTTTTCCAGAAAAATCGGAAGAAGACAGATTATTGAGGATATTTTGCATAACCTATTGATTTCTGCAGATCCTTTAATTTCATCCATTAGACCAAAATATTGTCACGAAGCCTCTCTTGCAGAACGGGAAGGGAAAGGGAACACCAGAATAACGCTAGATAGATATAATATGTTTTATTGTTCTAGGGCAGAGATTACGTTAAGAATAAGATACACAATTATTACCATATTGTTTTCATCTCGAGTCAGCACGTCCCTTCGGTCTGAAAAGGGTCTAAAGGCACCTGAGCGAATCCGTCGGGTATAAACCCAAGCTTGATCTTTGTGGTCAGCAGCTGCTAAGAAAACCAAACCAACACCGACAATAGAAGCTAGGGAGCCTGTACTGTAGCGCAGAGTCTGGGTCGTCGGTAGAAATCTGCTCGAACAGAGATAGGATGCGCAATCCCTATTCGGCCAGATAGCTCCCAACTTTGAGATACGTATCTAAGACGCCTACTGATACAGAAAAGCGCTGAGATACGGCTCACAGAGTCTGGGTCGCCAGTTGAAATCTGCTCGAACAGAGATACGATACGCAATCCCTATTCGGCCAGATAGCTCCCAACTTTGAGACGTATCTAAGACGCTTACTGATACAGAAAAGCGCTGAGATACGGCTCACAGAGTCTGGGTCGTCAGTTGAAATCTGCTCGAACAGAGATACGATGCGCAATCCCTATTCGGTCAGATAGCTTCTGACTTATGAGACGTGTCTAAACACCTACTGATACAGAAAAGCGCTGAGACACGACTAATTTGCCATATTGTGGCCCGGGCTTTTATATCCAATATTTGCTGACTATAATTAGGTTAATTAGTCTGGTTGTGTTTTCTTGTTTAATTACAGTTATTTGTATTAACCCGTGGTTCAGTGTATTGAAATTGGTTATAGCCCGTGGTCCCATGTAGGGTTGACACATGCCCCTCCCGATGAAGGCATTGGCCCCACAATGCCCGAGGAGACGTATTTGGCTTCACAAACTTAAAAAAACTTACAAAAACTTCAAAATAAAACTTAAAACTACATTATTCTTCTTTCTTCGGGCGTCTTCTTCTTTGTGATTGGTTCTTTGTGCGTGTCCATTCTTCCCTGGCTTCAAACACAAAACAGTGTCTGAGGCTTGCTTCTACTTGCGTTGGCGATTCTCTGGGTTTTGGTGGTTCCAAGGCTAGTGGTTTGCCTGGATCACTCTTGTAGATGTTCTGGCTTTGCTTTCATGTCAGTGGTCTCGTTGTCTTCTGCTGTGTTATCTCCTCGGTTTCACCTTCTTGCGATTTTAGGTGGTACAACGGGCTTTCGTTTTCCAACTCTTCCAAAAATGCTATGGTGGTTCCTGCGTCTATGGTTGCTGGATTCCTTGTTTTTG